ATTCTGTCTATGGCTTCACAGGGGCTCAGGTGGGCAAGCTGCCCTGCCTAGAGATCTCACAGGTGAGCTGGTGATGCTGGGTGACAAACTCGGGAATATTGTTCAGACCTGATACAAGTAATTACACAGTATGTGGTGTTGTCAGCTCATTACGTTTACATGCTATGAATTATGTGAGCAGTTTTCAGCTATGGAACACTGTGGTCTGTTTTACACATTATATTGTTGTATTAAAAAAAAAAAATACAACAATATAAAGTCTTCCCACTGTTCTGCACAGATGTGAAGTCGAAACATGAACGAGAAACAAAGATGTAGAACAGAGATTAGTGTTAAAATAGAAATCACAGAACAGGTAGAGAAAGACAAAGAACTCCTGAAAGACCAACAATGCAAGGCATCTGGCTGTTGTTCTTGTTGTTCTGTGGAAAGTTGACAAATTTTGATGCACAACACTCAGAGTTGAGGAGATAAAGCCATGAGCAGTTTTGCTCAGTGGCAAAGATGAATCCCATTCGTTGAAATATAGCCTGTAATGTAGCTGAAAACGGACTCATGGCTAATAGGAGCTTATTTCACATCGTTTAGTGATACACTCATTTAAATATCTTCACTCGTCTCACCCAGAGTGTCACTGGATTTGGAAGACATATGATCGAGAAAACCAAACAGTTGGTGGAGTCCAAGTACAGCATTTCCAGTGGTTACCAAGCTGATGCCAAGGTCAGGAATACTTGTGGCTGCCCTCCATCAGTACTGAACCCAACTCTTCTCTTTTTGTTTCCCTTATTCTTGTTAACATATCAAATATCAACTCACATTTAGTTTTGTTCCTCGTTTTAATTTGAACACTTATTTTTTTTAATTTACTTTTTAAATCTGTCATCTGTTAAGGTCATTTATGGGGATACAGATTCCGTCATGGTTAAACTGGGAGTTGCAACAGTAAGAGAGGCCATGGCTGTTGGGAGGGAGGCAGCAGAATGGGTGTCCTCCCATTTCACACCACCCATCAAACTGGAATTTGAGAAGGTACCACACTACACCCTAATTTGACCAGGATGTATGTTTAACATCTGATAAGTTGAAAATATGACACAGATATTAATATGTGATGCAACAATCTATATTTGGCTGTTTAAGCCAATACTTCAAATGAACGAGGACAGTGTGAACATATAGCAACACGTCTGGCTGCCACATTTTCAGAAATCAGGCAGCTGTTTCAGGGTTTGTGACTCAAGGAAAGTTGCAGCTTCTTCTCAGCTCATGAGTTTATTTTTCTCACTTCCACAGGTGTACTACCCATACCTGCTAATCAACAAGAAGCGCTACGCAGGCCTGTATTTCTCCTCCAGTGCAGACACGCATGACAAGATGGACTGTAAAGGCATCGAGACTGTCCGCAGAGACAACTGCCCTCTGGTGGCTAATCTTATCAACACGTGTCTACAGAGAATCCTCATAGACAGGTACACTCACATGCTTATTGCACCAGTGTGATTTCATTCCTTCATAATTTAATCTTTAATTTCATTTGGACATACTGATTAGAACTCCATAATTATTTATGCAGTGAAACTATGTGGCTAGATTTTTAGCTTCTAACAAAAAGCGAGACTCTGTCCACTTCCTGTCTTTTGCTTGGTTGAACCTTAACTAGAGCTGTAAAACTGATCACAACTGACGTGACTGGTTGAACCTTAACTAGAGCTGTTAATATGGCTGTAAAACTGATCACAACTGACGTGATGTCCTTAGGGATCCTCAGGGTGCTGTGGCTCATGCCAAAGAAGTGATCTCAGACCTGCTGTGCAACCGTATCGACATCAGCCAGCTGGTCATCACCAAGGAGCTGACACGCACTGCCCAGGAGTACGCTGGCAAACAGGCACACGTGGAGCTGGCAGAGAGGTCTGATTAACTGACTGGGCATTGCAAGATTTTATTTGTAATAATACATAAAGACTGTGATATGGATGAACTCACTCTTTAATGTTCACATTTTAAAGGATGAGAAAGAGAGATGCAGGTAGCGCACCAAACCTGGGAGACAGAGTTCCATATGTCATCATCAAGGCTGCAAAGGGAGTAGCAGCATACATGAAGTCGGAGGTCTGTAATGTCATCTTTGTCTTTTAATGTGCACATTTTTTTAAATCTACATTTCCTTGTAATACATATTTATTGAAAGTCCTGATTGTTCTATATTGTTTCAGGACCCGATCTATGTGCTGGAGAACAATATTCCCATTGACACTCAATACTACCTGGAGCAGCAGCTGTCCAAACCCCTGCTGCGAATATTTGAGCCCATCCTGGGAGAGAGCAAGGCAGAGAGCATACTGCTCAGTAAGTCTATGCGCACACACACCTCTATACACATCTTGTTTACATTGTTGATTAGCTGACTAAATCTTATTGTTTACATTGTTGATTAGCTGACTAAACCTTTTTAAGCAATGTATCATGGGCATTTGTCATTGTTGCTGACATTTGTAAACTAATCTAAAGATCTGTAACAGTATTAGTAATCTATAGAGTTCTGATCAAAAATAATCTGCAGCCTCACACTTGTCTTATGGATCAAATCTAATGTGAGCTGTACAATTCAGCCAAGAAATGTAGAGAAGAATCTTAGTGTTAAGATATATAAATGACACTTAGCATGTGTTGTGTTCTCAGATCAGAACATTACTGCTGATTTTGGGCTCTCTTTCAGGTGGCGACCACACTCGCTGCAGGACGGTGCTGACCTCAAAGGTGGGAGGCCTCATGGCATTCGCTCAGAAGAGGAGCACCTGCATCGGCTGCAGAGCTGTGCTCAAGTCTGATGGTGTGTGCGCAGCACTTTAACATTTGGTTTTCCACTTGGAGTTCAGATGATATATTTCATATTTAGAGTTCAGATCCATATTTTTGTATGTATACTGGAGTCTTATACAGTGTGTGTAACCTGTTTCGTTGCAGTGGCTGTGTGTGATTTCTGTAAGAAAAAGGAATCTGAACTGTATCAGAAGGAGGTAAGCAAGATGCAGATGATGTCATATTGCCTTCTGGTGGCTCTTCTTAGCGTAGGGGGAAATTATGAAAAATTTGATATCAGATTTATTTAAGTACAATTATTTTTTTCTTTTCTTTTGGGCTCCTAGCACATTGTGCTGATTAAATTGCGACTCTTTATAACTGACTGTTACACTAAAGCGTAAACAGTTACGTCTTCCTTAGGTTGTTTTAAATGTGTTAGAATTAAGGGGATAATATCTGAAAACATCAGTTTTCCCATTATGTCTTTGATAATTACAGATCTTTCACCTCAACACCCTGGAGGAGCGTTTCTCTCGCCTATGGACTCAGTGTCAGCGTTGTCAAGGCTCCCTCCATGAGGATGTGCTCTGTACCAGGTACATATACAGTTCACATGTACATGCTGTATTTATCATAACTCTGAAACCCAGATTGTTTAGCACACAACTATGGTAACACTCTTCTCTCCTCATACCTCTGCAGCCGGGATTGTCCCATCTTCTACATGAGGAAAAAGGTCCAAAAAGATTTGGATGATCAGAGCAAGTTGGTGTCTCGCTTTGGGTGGTGACAAAGGGGTACACACACACACACACGCACACATTCCTCTTGTGCCTTGGACTTTTACTCAGTTGCTGGATTTTTTTTTCTTTCTTTTGGTACTTGTAAAATATTTCTTTATTTTCTAATATGAAGAAAATGACAGTTTTTTTTGTAAAATAAAATCAAAAAGCAGTCACTTCAGGCTGTCTGGTTTGATCATTACTCGTTTAACAGTCACAGCAAAAATGATACTGGAAGCAGTTAATTGTACAAACAGGTTACTGAACCACATTGTGGTTGAACACACCAGACAGTGAACATCTGCACTTGAAGAGCTTTACAGTGCATGAGCTTTTTTTTTTTTCAGTGGTAGATTCCCTGTTCTTTTCCTGTGATGAAACTGTGTAGTTTTACAAAAAGCAAAACAGGAACTTAACTGCCTTCCTCTTCACTGTTATTGTTTTAGTAGAACCACAGAAACCACATCCCCTCCCGTCCACTAATTAGAGTGAAACCCCTCATCTTTTCATGGCACAAACTGGAGGAAGCTGGATGTAGTGTTTGTTACATGTAAAAAGAGGAGGTCTTTATTGCCAGAGGTTACAAATCTATGGAAGCTCATTGCCTTTACCAAAGGGGACAAAAAAAACCTGAGAATTGGATCTCGTAATTATGAGACCTTTTGTCACAATTGTAAGACAGTACAGGTCGTTGGAACACTACATGGATGTAGTGAATTACACTGCAGGCAGCGACTTTGACACCTGTTTTAGCCTACATTTGTTTACATTTTGGAACAAGCTGAATTACGTTTTCTGTACACTATTGGATGTTCTGACAACTGCCACTGAATTAAACCTGATGATATGCACTGCAATAGATCTCATAATTAAAGGAAAAGGACCGATAATTATGAGAGACTGATCTCGTAAATATGAAATTGCTTGCAGTGGTTGGAATGATGTAGAACTTACCTGAAAAATCGTCAGGTTGACAGTTTTAGTATCAAAGAAATTCAGTGATAGTTGTCAGTACATCCAATACTGCACAGCAAAAGTCATTGGCTATTAGCTAATTTGGCTTACTTGGTATTCCAAAGCATTGTCTAGGCTAAAAATGACAAGAAGAAAAGACCTCAAAATTCTGAAGTAGTAACTCGTAATTTCAGGATCCTCATCTCATGATCATGAGATCTTTTCTTGTAATTGTGAAACAGTAAGTTAGAATTACGAAAAGATTTCATACTTACGAGAATTTTTTTTTGGTGAATGCAATGTGCTTCCATACAAATCACACTCTGGACTTGGTTTGTATTTGAGAAAGGTACCTGTCACTGATCTTCTTGAAAACCCTTTAACCTTTACCAGTAAAGAGCCACCTGGATAAACAAAACAGACAAAATGTAAAAGCCAAAGACATTTTACTTGTTCATTACAGCAGACTGCATAACAGGGTTTCCATTGCTTTCAGTGAGAACTGTTCAGATCTAATTATGTACATGTATTTTAGAGTTGCTGCATATTTAACACCATAGCAAAGTATGAATCCTTCCCGGGTGGAGTCACTTCTGCTGCATTGCAATTCGACTGAAATATTGCTCCTTGAATTTTGATATAATCTCAGTACGTTGGTAAACAGCTGTTTTAACGGAGAAGTTTTAAACTGGGGGAAGCTGTTTGTAATGCTACAAAAATATAAATTTAACAATCCACTACGTTTAGGGTGATGGTAATTATCAAAGAAGACAAACAATGCTATAAAAAGTGGTTGCCCTAAATATTATCATCCAGCATAAGGTACGTTCTGATAACATGACTGTCGCTGGGAGATTTCCCACTGAGTTAAACACTGGTTTCAGCATTGGTTTAAATGTACCACATTGTATATTTGCACATGCCACATGCTTTGGAAATAGTGGTGTAGCATAAACAATGCTTGAACATAGTGACTTAGAGCTGCGTCCACCACCAACGCCAGGACTGATGTAAAACTTGCATTAAAAGGTGGACTTTGGAGCAAACAAGGCTGATACTTCAAACAATAAGTTAATGAGGCTGTGAACTTTTACAGCCATCAAATCTCAACGGATCATCTGCCACAGCTGTCTTTTATTCCTCTGGTCCTGATAAAACACCGTATTCCTGAAAAGTTGTTTAAAATGGCACTAACTAATATTAAAAATTCTAAAATAAACACACAACAGGAAATGAATAAAGTGCACCTAGGAGTCTAAAACACAATTTTGTGGCTTTGAGACTGGATCATATCCTACTACAGCATGGTCTTTGTGAGAAAATCTGAAAACTAAACTAGATATTGCTGTTGTGTTTCAAGCCCCAGAGGACACACCAATCTGTGGAAAAAAAAAAAAGGGGGGGGGAAGGTCTAATGGTGGAGATTTGGGTTCATCGCCCCTCCTGATGGGACAGTGCAAAGTGCACCATCAACTGTTTCACTGGTCAGACATTTACAGTTAGAAAAAAAAAAAAGAATTATCATTTTGGACAAATTCTCTTATTGTGGGGGTGGGGGGCGGGGGTGGTGGACTTTCACCACGGACCTCAGTTTTTTCACTAATGCTGACCTTAACAAAAACAAAGTTTCTAGCTGTTGGCCCATCTAAACAAACAAAAACTACTTAATTCACAGCGTTAAACGGAAACTGCACATTGGATGAATAAATGGCAACTTACTGTAGGTGGAAACTGTGACAGCAGTAAAACTGGACTTTACCCCCACCTGCCTACCTGCCCGGAGGTGTGTTAGACATCTCCATGGTGACAGGGAAGGCGCAGTGTGTGAGCAGGGAACCAAGTGCTGGGAGGGATGCTGGTGAGTGTGGTTTGCTATAGAATTAAGCAACGTCTCTGAGTGTTCTTCTTGCTCTTTTTGTTGCTGCGGTTGGTCTCCTTGTATCTTCTGATCTCCCGTACCAGCGAATAAAAGGCTTCCTCCACACCCTGCAAGACAGAAACAGAAAAATGCATGCTTATCACACACAGACAGCTTGTTGAAAGATTTGTTTATTTTGCCACTTACGCTTTTTTTCCCCCCGGCTGTTGCTATGCTGATGTCATATTTACTTAAACAAGGTTTGCACATGTGTGGATGCAAACTAAACACAGGTGTTACTGCCTTTCCCATTTACCTGTCTGGTTTTAGCTGAGGTTTCGATAAACGGTACTCCATAGCTTCGTGCCAGCTCCTGCGCCTGTCGCGTCTCCACTGTGCGGGTGCTCAGGTCGCTCTTATTCCCCACCAGCACCATGGGAACACTGTCACTGTCCTTCACCCTGTTGATCTGCTCTCTGAGGATGAGACACATTGAACATCACCGAAGAGACTGAACCCACCCTACTTTGGGGAGACTGGGTTACAGGACCTTAATATGGATCAGATTATATGAACATGAACTAGATTCTAGACTACAATGTCCCCACAGAACCTGTAACCACACTCAGCATGTCTACAGAGGTGTTACAGATAATTACATCTGCAGTTCCTGCTAAAGAGGAAGTAGCCTTTGTCTGTGGCCACTAGACACAGTTGTATTTTAAACACGCTCTTCAGCAGACAGTCCTACTTTGACAGCACTGATTTGTGACTGATAGAGCAGCCTGCGTTGGTGTATACAAGCCATGAAACATCTTGTACCTGTACAAGTGAACATCCTCAAAGGACTTGGTATTGTTGATAGCAAAGACACAGAGGAAGCCCTCTCCTGTCCTCATATATTGGTCCCTCATGGCGCTGTACTCCTCCTGACCAGCAGTGTCCAGGATGTCCAGCAGACACGTCTCTCCATCAATCACCACCTGTTTTCTATACGAGTCCTACAACACAGCATCGACATGATCACACAAGCAGCAGCAGATGTCTGCCAAGTAATGCGACAATGTATTGCATGATATCAATTCTCATGTTTTGTGGCACATTGCTGCATCATATAGCTGCAAGACCCTGATGAAGGAAATAAACCTGCAGAAACCTGAATATTGGTTAACAATAACTGATTACAGCTCAGCACGTTTATCACTGAAAATAAAGATTTAAAACCAACTTGTGGTGTCTTAATGTGGGAAAACATTACACAGCAACATTAACGCTGTTGACTCATGTCTGTTTGTGAAACAAACGACAGCTTATGATAAAGCCGTTATGATAAAACCATAGATTACATACAGCTTCTTCAGCCTAAATCTACAAACAGCAACATTACAATAACAAGAATTACTGTTATCACCAATATTAGCTAATAAAATCTTTAAATCTCAAGATTAGTGTTTCTAGCTTGAAGCTGCATTTCATCTCAACTCAGTAGTGAGTGGATGACACTAGAAACCAGTGTCCCCCAATTCAGTGGTGATATGAGAACGTTCAAAGCCCGTTTCTCCTGTGACCTGGTGTTATGGTTATGAGATCTGAACTCAACTAGGATGTTAAACATCCCAGGAGTTTGGATAGCAGGGCCTTATAGATGGAGACACAGATATGCTCATGCCTTCTAGACAGTGATGACCATCAGACCTTTTCTTGTAACTCACAAAAGAAAAGTGAGTATATTAACAACTGTATAGTAAATCAAATGGCACTGTGGTAGTCCGGTGGTTTAAGAGTAGAGGCACATATCGTGGTTTTCTTTTAGCTGAAGGATGAACAAGCTCTGTTTCGGTATATGAAACCAATTTCAATTTTTTATTTTTGGTCAAGATGTTCAACATGGGTTTTATAGGACAGTAAGGCTTGAAAATAATCACTTACTACTTACTTTAAGGTTTTAAATATTAAATATGATGCACAGTCACAGATTCAACTGCACAGGAATACATGAAGCTGTGAAGTTAAGCTCCAACTCAAGCAGCTGCAGAATTAAACTAAGTCTCCCATATTTGTGCATCAGGAATAATACTCCTGTTGAGTAGTATGTAGTTGTACCAATTACATTATGTGTTTCGGGTGTATTACATTCTACAAGGACACTGTGTGTAGAAGTTGGTCTCTCACCTCGATGGTTGGATCATATTCATCAACGAAGTGGTTTTGGATGAGCTGAATGGTGAGAGCACTCTTCCCGACACCTCCGGCCCCGACTACCACAAGTTTGTACTCGGTCATACCTGTTAGGGATCGAGCCAGCAGGCAGTCATCAAAAGGCGTGACTTCATATTAACCTAAGAAGCTAACAAGTTTAACTAACTGACAAATCTAACCGCTTTATCTCACCCTCATTCTCCCTACACTGACATGGCGACGACACTGACCCAGATTTAAGGTTAACGTACTATCCGCTAACGTTATCTTAATGTTAATCACTTTTTTTGGCCAAGTATGTTACACACAAGGAATTTGTCTCCGGTACAGAACCGAGGCAGCCATCTGCGGCGCCTAGTCGCCTTCATGTTAACTCTTCCGTTTAGTTGCTGAATCGACATTAATGAAAGCTGGTGGTAAAAATGGGAACAGTTTAAATACACATACTTACCTTAGTGTAGGATTTGTCACAGTCTGAGAAACAATGTTAGCTAAGCTAGCTGAGTTTAACTAGTGGATAAATGAGATTAGCTTGCTACATAACGTTAGCCTGAAACGATTTCCTTGTTCAAAACACTTGTAGAAACACTTCGGGATATGTCCGAAACTTGTATTTGGAATTCCCTGTAAAAACACGAACAACAGATGTGTGCCGCTATTAGTGAAAATCTAACTTCTTGTAATAAATGAACTAAAGTGCTGAATTCGTATTAGCTCCTATTTAGTCTCCACTGTGATTCATTGCAAGTAGTGCGTTTTGGCGTTAATCCCCTCATCAAACAACCAATGAAACGACGGCAGGCAGACAGACGTCGCAAAGGCCAAGTCACAGTGGAGTTCTAGCTTGTAACCCCGCCTACAACTAGCCAATCCGTCCAATCATAAGCAGGAATAACCCTAATTGGGCATGGCCTGTCAAGCAACATTCCTTCTCTCACAGATGGCTCCTCTCAACGACTGGGTGGGTGGGTGAACAGTTATTTATAATGCTGAATGTCATTAATTGTGTTTAGACTCATTTATGTACCAATTAACTGTGCATTTCAGTTCTAAATATGACTAACTTCAGCCTCATGCATCATATTACAATAAATAGTCCTACAATAAAAACCATCTTCACGAATATTGTCCACTTTCTAAGGTTTCTAATTGTTTTATTTTGAAAGTGTTCACAGGAAAAGTTAGTATAGTATTGTGCCTGCCTTGACAATATACATACATCTTCCACCCCGAGGAACTGCAACACACAATTAAATTCGTGGATAATTCACAGTAATAATCAGATTAGTCGTATTACAGTAAAGACATTATCAGGGTGACTATTACAAACAACAACAACAGCAATATACTAACAGTAATATTATAATAGTAGTAATATTAGCATTGGTAATTATTATAATAGTTGTTTTCTGGTGTGGAGACCAGTTGAGTAATGGGACTTGAAGGTTGACCTGAGCACGAGTTTGTGTTCACCTTGGTCTAGTGGAACTGCAACAATACAATGAATTCATGGCCAATGCATCGGTATGGACAAATAGTATGATTACTATAAGTAATAACGGTAATTTTATCAACAAAAAGGAGCATTTAGTGAATAAAGAGCCAGATCGGTCACTCAGTTTGTATAGGCCATGTGTGAACTAGGAATTCAAATATCTAACAAACTCACCATATCAACTAAAAGGTGATAACATGTCAGTGCTGTGTTCACAACTTGTCTTTGCTACCCTTACTGGCCAAAAATAAGTAACTGCAAGATTGGCATGTGATTTTAGTAAGAAAGGTTTCTGCTAGGTTGGCGAGTCCGCGTTTGAACAGTGAATTAAGCGTCATGGCTATTTACTGACGTCTAGTGGTCATCACAAGAAACTGCACCGCCAAATTCAATTAGTCATATTAGCGTCAATGATGACATGATAGCATGTCAACACTTCCGGTGAGTTCTTTCAGAAATAAAGCCCAAAATGAAGGTATCAGAAACAAAGTAACAGACGCGATTATTAAATTACTCTGATTAAATGATTATAAAAATTGTTAGGGATTCGACTGATACGAATATAAAAATACCACAAATTAGAGATTCGGTTAGAATCTGACAAAAATGCAATATAACACATTTTCATGTGAAAATCATACTGCTGACTGAAAGAGGTCACAAATGATGTTTAAAAAAATAGTCAAATCTGTTCTTTGAAATATTTGTCTTCAGTTGCACTGCACATAGTGCCTACATCATGCCCAGCCTTCCAGTCCATCACCCTCACTACCCTTGTCTGTGACGTTCATGTTTCTCGCTCACTCTCCCACTGAGTGCATCTGCTCTCCTATCTAATCTTTGCCTAAAATCACAAAGATAATCCTGCATCCATCTGTCTCAAGGGAGAGAAACAGAGAACTGACATTGCACTCATATTATAGAAAATTAAACACTAATTTAACGTGTTATCCTGTTGTTTTGGGGATAAATTCTGATGACAATATTATTCTGAAGTCATTGAGAAGTCATTTGCTTAAATTTTATTAGACACAAGCATATCTCACATATACATCTTTTATACACAGCGCATGTTTGAAATCTTTGTATGTTAAAATATTTTCCTTTTTATTTTTACATTAATTCCCACCAGGTAACCAGGTATTTCATCAAAACACTGGAACAACCATAAAATGAGACAAAGAAGAAGCTCAATAAAAAAAACCCCACTAATACAACACTTAACACTTTCATTTTTAACTGGAAAAATCATTCAAGTCTTTTACACATTTCACTCAGAACACAATAACAATTTCCCATCGTCACTTAGACATGTACACAATGTATTAACATACCAACACATTTTACCATTAAATCCTCATTTGATTAAAATATCCTCATTACAACAGTTTTTCTCACAAAAGTGAGTTCTAATTACAAACCTTCTGTAAGTTAGGCCTAAACAGAAATTCTTGATTCTTTATCTGATAATGAACCGCCTGCAAATCTAATTTTAAAAATAAGTTACCGTGCATCAGCATGGCCTATGAGTACACACAGAATGCAGAACCTTGTGTGTGTGTGTGTGCATGCACATGTTGTTTCATGTGTGAATCTATTAGCTGTATCTATCATCTGTGCAGACGAACAAAGTTGTACTGTGTCGCTTGCACAAAAATTATTCTCCTGTATGAGAATGTTAATGTTCTCTCAGCAAAGGTGCCTCTGGACTCTCACTCCAATACCCAGCTGTCAGTGTGTCAGGGAATGATGTGGTTGGACATTACTGGACCTCAACACACCCTTAAATTCTTGTTAATTCCCACCTGTTTCAATCTGTACCATGAGTGCACATTACTCCTAAAGCAACTTAAATAGCAAATATTGTACCACCCCTCCCTCTGCACACTGTGCAATTTGACTGTGGTTGCATGAAATTTGCACCCTATGTGTGTAAAAACAAGAGAGGGATGACAGGGTACTGTACTGCACTGCTGTGCTCATTAAAATATGCTCACCGCTCCATGTTTCAGCACCTGCACCCAACACATCAGCACGCTCACCATCACACACAGATACGTACAATCTGAAAAGCTCTGAACCTCCATTTCAAACATTTAAAGACAAAGAAAGAGCGCCAACTGAGACTAAAACCAGAAAAGAAGACGACAGAAAATGTCCCATTAAACACAAGAAGAAAAACAGAGAGGGATAGAGCCACAGAGACAGAAAAGGGCTGAAACAGAAGGCAGCATGTGCTGTGATGTCTAGAAATGGTATAACTATTGTCATGTGCTGATTAAGCAGTGGAACAGTTAAGTGACCATCACACTCTACCTGTCATTCTGGGCCACCTCTCCAATCAGAGTAACACAACAAACAGAAAGTCACAAGTGTCATGTGATTACTTTTGATATGTGCCTTGTGACCCATCAGCCTGGCTGAACATGACATACTGGCCCAGGTAAGACTGAGCTAGACACCACATGCAGCTTAGAGCACACATTCAAGCACATGCCTTGTGCATCAAAAGCACCAAAAGCATGAGGGTGTGTTGAGGTCCAGTAATGTCCAAATCACAAATTGATACAACACGTAATCATTTTATTCTCTGACTGAAAAGTCTGAATGGAGTCACTGAGGTTTTAAAACATGACAGATTATCACCATGCTGACAATCACGTGCAAGCATACTTCACTTACGTTTGCTTAAGCAATGTAAATTTGCTGTGATGAAACAAAATCACCTCATTGCATGACTGATGGCAGGACAAGCTTGTCCTCGCTCATGAAAACACCTCAGCTTTTAGTTTGTGTATTGATTTTATCATGTGATCAATATTCTATTAAATCTGAGAATCTTCAGAGTAATATAGACTAGACTAACTGATAGTGAGCTTTTATAGTTTTGTAAGATCAGAAGTTGTATGATTTAAAACTGTGACCTCAAAGGTGCTTTTCCAGCTCTTTAAAATTACACACATTCAAATTTTAATAAAAAACGATGCCAGTGGCTTGAGAGTTGCTGTACAGGCAAAAAAGCCTACCACGCACACACACACACACACACAGAATCTCCTCAGTGACGTCGGAAACACAACTCCTGACCAATCACTACAAGCTCAGGAATACAGGAAGGAAGTCTGTGAAAAAAATTGCTGCAAATAAATACTACATGTGTTTAAGTACACCTGCAGGCACATGCTTTTACATGCGCGCACACCCACATGCTCTCTCTCTTATACACACACACACACACACACACACAATGGAATTAATCAGATACATTTGAAATGTGAAATTCCAAATATGTACAAACGCACACAGCAGGTCCATTCAGTGACTCTTTTACAGTTCCTTCCCAAAAACAATCCTCCTCTTTTCCTAATCTTGTATTTTTTTTAAAACTTGTATCATGCTGATCTTCTATGTCAGCTCCCTCTCCTCTTCGCCCTCATACACGTACGAGTTGTATCCAGGTGGCTGCACATATTCCTCAGTTTTTTCCCAGTCTGTCACCCATCCAGGCCCAGCTCCTCCTCCTCCTCCATTGGAACCCATCACTAATTGGCTCATGGCCCCGTACTGCCCGCCTCCACGGTAGAGCTCCTCTGTCTCATTGGCCAGTTCATCCTCATTAATGATACCACACTTCTCTTCACTTGTGTCCTCTATGTCTGCCCATGCCTGCTTCTCTCCTGAAGCAAAGGTTCCTATTGGAAAAAGAAGAAAAAGCAATTTATCAGCATTTAGACTAAGGTGTTCTGCACATACTTGCAAAAACCTTATTTTCATAGTCAAATCCTACCATAGAAAAGCACTCCTCCGTAATGAACGAGGGAAGCTATAAGGAAGACACCCTGCCACTCCTCACGTGTCTGAAGAAATGTGAACGGTTCAAGAGTGAGTCCATTGTAGCTATCTAAAAATATGGAAAGTTTTATACACTGTTAAGTTGATATAACCTTGTGTTTGGTCATGGCCCCAACTATGAGAGGACACACCATTCCAGATAATGTTCCCACTCCATTGGAGATGCCCATCAGTATGCTGGCATATCGAGGGGCAATATCCAAGTGATTAACATTAAACCCTGAGAGAGAGAAACAAACACAGTATAACTTCTCCTGCTTTTTTTTTTAAACAACATTATTGAGGTGGATTTTCATGTGCTGATATTTTTCACAACAACAGAGCAAAGAGAAATCAGTGAGTGGAGAGATTTGGGCTACTGTTGCAATTCTGACCAAGCTAAACTAACAAGCCGGTAGCTGTAGCTTCATATGTACTGTTCAGACACAGGACCAGTGTTGATCTTCCCATTTAACTCTCAGCAAGAATGTTGATATGCATATTTCTTAATCTATCACACTGTTCCTTTAAAACAGGGGCAACACACATGATAATAACAGATCTGATTAAATCAGGCCTTCAGCTTATTGATAATGTCTTACCTGAGATAGCAAATCCGCTGAACCCTACAGCAAGGACCAAGAAGGAAATGGCAACGGCTTTTGTGTGAGAGTATCCCACCACCAGCAGGAGGGTGGCCTCCATTCCAAACCCTGAAACACTCAGCCATCAAAATCTAACTGAACAATGGAGGAATGAGGAGCACGCTCCACAACATTATACTCTGTCTCAACAATCACAGGTTCACTATTACATTGTGTATAAATAATTATGTTGGAAGAATAATACACTTGTTTTTGCACATGAAACAGACTGATCCAACCTTTAAGTCGTGCTAAAATATTCATACGATTCCAGCTGGAAGCTGCTGCCAAGTGAGAGATGCTGCATAAGAGGTGCCAGTCAAACAGGGCTCCTACTGTAAAATGCTAGTGCCTTCAATTTCAAAAGAATTTAGTAGCAATACATGCACCTTGTTCCATTCGCCTCACTTTTGCAGTATTTATCTGTTCTGTTTCATTTCAGTCAGTGTTTTAAAAAGGCATGAAAAGATATTTCTAAGAATATAAATAAATGGGACGGCAACCTTTGGTAATTTGGTGTGTTTTCCACTTTAGCATCTTACACTGTTGCAAGCTTTAGCTTTTCACCATTTTCATTCCTCCTCACCCTCGTCCAGCTGCCACCTTACTCTCACCTCCACAGTTCATCAGCTTCCTAACGTTGGTGGTGGACATCAGGTTGTGACTTCTCAGGTAGTCTGCCAGCTGGCCTCCAACAGGAACGACGATTGTCATCACCAGATGAGGCAAAGCTGACACAATGCCCACCTGGAAGAAGAAAGGAGAGAGGGAGTCAATACGTAGGTGTGCCATTACTAGAGCATTTGAAACATACTGACAGTTTGAAAGCAAGTCTTTAGCTACATGTATAGATGATATGATCTCACCTTACTGATCTCAAAACCAAAGACCTCTTCAAAATAGGCTGGCTGGCTGATGAGCAGCAGGTAGAAAGTCCAGCTCCTGCAGAAGTTGGCCACAATGATGGCATAGACAGGCATGGAGGTGAAGAAGTGTTTCCATGGGGTTTTAAATTTCTGCCACCAAAAGGAATAAGATACTACTTGGATTTTCTGACTACAATGAAATTGATCACAAACTAGAAAGTCAGTCAAATGTGTGCCAAGTGGTTTGTCTAAGAGATTCTGTGTTTGATTGATAGACAGATAAATATCATACGTGTAGAGGATTGAGAAATGCTGCAGAGTCTCCGATCGCTTCTTCGATGTACTTTCTCTCCTCAGGCGAGATGGTGGGATGTGCTGCAGGACTCTCATAAGACACAAGAATCCAGAACATATACCAGAATATCCCAAAGCTGCCTGGGAGGTGAAGACAGAGGATGAATGGGCTGAACTCATTGTGCTTCAATAAGGACACATTGAATATAATGATACTAACCATAGACATAGAATACTGAAGGCCACCCAGTGTACTGCACCAGCATCCCAGCTAAAGGCATGGCCACCACAGCCCCTGCATAAGATCCTAAGAAAGCATCAAACATTAACAAAAGCAACAAATAATTTATTTTTCCTCTTTAGCGATACAGTCATTTCTGCACTCAAAAAGCTTAACATATACTGTCATCAAATAACCACATAAATCCGTCTTCTGCTTTAAATCTCTTAAAATTTGCACAAACTCCTGTTGGCTCCTTCTTCACAGTCTTCCAACCTGCAGAACTTAACCCTAGTGGAGATCTCAAAATGTCTGCAGGTAGCACAGAGAGTGAAATGTATCAGTAGAGTGTTGAAAGTTTACCACAAAAGGCTGTTGTAGCTAATCGACTTCTCTCCATAGGAGGTGCCCACTTGGCCCAGATCCCATGGCAAGCTGGGTATGATACACCCTGAAGGACAAAATACAGTTAGGGAAACACTTGTACACATAGGAAAATCTTAACACATGCACACAGAAACACACTGTACCTCAACAAGGCCCTGGCATATCCTAACCAATATGACACAGCTGTAATGGCATCGAGCGGCAGATGGAATCAGCATGTTGAGGGTGGAGGTAGCCACTATGGCAAAGCCAAACACTCTTGGACACAAAAAAGACAAACAAGCTGCCTCAGATTGAGTATTCAACACTAACGATAGCATCACAAGAATGACAAAAACAAAAACAAAACTGATCCACTGGCAAAAGACAAGAGATGGGGTTGTTTGCTGGTTCTGCCAGTGCTACTGCAACTGCCTGGCATCTGATTATAAAGACAAAGATTAACTGATTTTTTAAGCATTTGTGTGTGATTTGATGCTGATACTTAATGCCTGTGAAATAGCACCAAGAATTGGCAAAATCATTTTCTTCCCACTGGCACAAGACGTTTCTCATTAAGCTTGAACCTCATATTGGAGAAGATATTGTAAATGTGACAGTCACCTGTTCGCTGCAAATTTTTGACATATAAAACCACCCGGAATCTGTGTGACGATGTAGCCCCAGAAGAAGGAGCCATGGATCATCCCCACTGTCTCAGGGTCCCAGGTGAACTGTGCAGCCTGAAGAAAGACATATAAATGAATTTGAACAATTACATATAAATTTCATGCTATTCAAAAGGATACGTACTAATTTTTATAAGGTCACTTACATGTGACTTAAGAGAAGGGTTCTGTCATTTCTTTTAGAAACAATCTTTACCTGCATTAAATGGGGCCTGAACACAAATAAAGAAAGCCAGTGAAGGAGAAACTCATTTATGAAAATATGTTATGTGATGCTTACCTAACAAGCATTGCATAACATAACCCTAACCCTTATCACACAAGATAGCCACAAACTCACCGCTGTCACGTCTATGAATAGCTGTAAAGTAAAGGCAGGTACACAAGCTTCGATTTCTGATGTGCCACTCACCACAAGTATTTCCTTGTTGCCTTTGTAGACAGTATGGTCATTGACCATGCTCACAATGGCCACACCCAGGTTGCACCGGATACCAAAAGAGATGCAGAACCCTAAGCCAGAGAGGATGGCGATGATATACCGCCTGGGCAAACCAAAGCAGGTACAGTCCACCACCGGCAGCTCCTTCTCCTCCACCAGCTCAGGACGGCCCTCCGCTGATAACTCAATGGTTTCTCCATTGGGCTGCCGCTTCTCAATCAGCCTGAAGGGAAATAGAGACAGAGATTGTACAGGAAGCAGAACTATATATGTGTGTCTGGAACTTAAAAAGAAAAAAGTGGATTAGAAATGTATATAAAATTAAACATAATTTTGCTTCCATGCAAACAGTGTCATTTGGGTTTGTTTTGAAATTTAAAATAAAGTTCTGCACATCTGAACAACACCATAGCATGACCTTAGAGTAAAGGACACAATAGTGAGACCACTGATGTTAGCATGCATCTTTATCACATGATTTCTTTTCACAGCCTGAATGGAACGATCTGATATAACAGTGCAACACCGTATGGATACATTAGGAATAATTCTTTTTGTTGTCATTTATAATTTACTGCTACATGCAAAAGGTTCAGCTGCAATGAAATGACCTCGGTCTTCTCTTCATTCTTGTCTACATCTTGCTGACACCACCTCGCTCTGCATCTTTCAGTGAGGAGCAATTTCTAATAGGGAAGGTCTTACAATTTTGTGGAGTTTCCATGTATTTGAGGCTGTGACAGGAAGTGTACATCCTTTCATCATGCATGTTTTTTGTAGGCTTTATTTACTTTTAATAAACTTTCTCACTCTCTCTCTCTCACACACATAAGCAACGACTTTCTCTCTCTCTCTCACACACATAAGCAACATGTACCCTGTTGGTGGTCAAGTCTGAGTCAGCATGTTCCAGTGTGTGGGAACAGCTGTCACTAGCCAAGGAATAGCATTAGCTACGGCAGCACATTCCCTGATTGTCTGGACTTTTACATGTAGGTTGCCTGGAACCTGCTGCCATCTCAGACATGAGGACGAGCTGTGTGGAGACTGACATCTAACCATATACGTGTATATACACCTCATCACTGAACAGGCATGTTTGTGTAACGTTATTGAGACAGTGTGTGAAATAGTGATGTAGTGAAAGGCAAGAAGTATCAAATCTTTTAGACGGCCTAAATCAGATAACAGTGCATTGTGTTGAACTAAAGGGGAAGCTTTATAGAAAACAGAGGAATTTACAGGCTTATGATGAACTGAACAGCAAAACGGATCAAAAAAGTGTAACCAATATTTAAAGCATCATTTCCAAAAATATATCCGTACACATACACACATGCATGCAGCAGACTTAAGTACAAGATAGCTGCTGATGCACAATTCTACAATTAAATCAAAGTCCAAAATTTCCAGTGTATATATGCTTTGACGTGAGTGTGCGTGTTTTTAATTACATGTGAGTTCACAGTGTAGAGCACTTGTGTGTCAGCCCTCAACTTTCTGATCTAGTCAGTCAGTGAGCTGGAGAATGATGCACAGAAACAGGCACAATCACCACAAGGATTTGCTCCACACGATGAGGATGGCTGCACTTTTAAAAAAGGCGTTTCAAATGTGAACTTCAATATGTTTTCAGAACAGGTGTTTACTGCTTCGAGCGCTGCTCCTTTTTTCAAGTAAATATTCCAGACGATCCATCTCTCTCAGGATCACCACAAACTGAACTCCGATAATTTATTTACACATGCTAACACGAGACAGTTCCGACTCCGGTTAATTATTGATGTGTTTTTGAGTGACATAAATAATTCACACCGTCTTTTTACGCCATAATCTGTCACTGTCTATCGGCTTGTCTGTCTGCTTCTCTGGATATACACTGTCTCATCCACACAGTTGTTATATTTCTTATAGATTCTACTATGTAAAGCAACATTTTGGAATTTGTTGAGATTATAGAGGCTGCATCCTCTCTCCCCTTCTCCCTCTTAATCTGTCACAACATTCAGATTAGGATTACAAAAATGATTTACTTCTGGAAATGACTATGAAAGGACAGACTAGGACTGGGAATGGCTCAGTGTCGGTCTCCCTCTATCACGACACACTGTCGATTTTCCATTGATTCACTTTTTCAATCGCTTTCACTTATTTTCCAGTCAAATATTTCAATAATTTCTAAAATATCCAGTGTTTTTTTGTCTCTTTTGTTACAACCATAGACAAAATTAAAGGTATGGAGTTTGGTAAATGATGTTATAATATATGATTTAGTAGTGCAACCAGTACATTTTTGACTATAGCACATGTAGACATACAGAGTATTTGACAGAAGATGCACTGGCCTCTGGGCACGAAGCTTTAACAATAAGCACCACAGTGCAGTATACACAAAGACAAAAGCAGTTCTGTAATTCAGCAGTAAGATAATCAAGCTGATATGACACAAAGATGTGTATATTGTTTCTGCTTGATCAGGCGGCTGCATCCACACTCCTGCCCTCTCTGTACCAAACAAATGTGCTGACTTCGCTCCTGAGTGGAGCTTAGTAGGTTATCTCTTTTCACAGTTAGTGAGGGCTGCAGGAGGATCCTCATTAAACCTCAAAAACAGATTGTAGCCTCATACATTCACATATGCTACCAGCCAACGAGGTCATCTCACAGCAAAAATGGCTTTTAATTACAGATGCTTTTGACTAAAGGGCAATGTTGCTCCACTGTGTAAGTATCCCAGAAAAGTTAATTAGCCCAGAGTCTCCCTCTTCTAGTGTAATGATTTAAAATGATACTGAAGGAGTTTATTGACACTTTGAGTTAAACAAATACAACAATCTTGACATAAATCAACATTTATCACTACACCTGTCTGCCAGCACAAATCTTGTCTCACAACTGTGGTGACCGGTAAAATACTGCTACGTTGCTGAGGAAGTACTGGTATGATGCACACATGGAGAAACAAAGAGTTGTCTTTGGACATTTCCACTCAGCTGATGCAGTTCCTCCCTGGCATAAAGAGAACCTGATTGCTCTCAGCTGACAACAACTAATGAGTGAGAGAGCGTGAGCAGGCAGGAGTCCCATGACCTCAGGCTCTTGGAAGTATAATTACCACAGTAACAGACTCATTGGAGGCCCATGTCTGTGCTTTTCACCTGTGCACAAGAAGAAAACCTCATACTTAAAGATAAAACCTGAATAAATATCTGACATCAAATGTAAAAGGTCAACAAGACAAAATCAATCAAAGTGACTCAGTCTAAAATAAGGACTTTGGTGTCAGTCAACATAGTTTCAGCTTAGATCTTCGTCAAATAGAAAAGAAATTTTAAAACTTGTTAATTTGCATTTTCACTTTTTTATTAACTAGATTTAGTCATATTTACCATGACATTCTCTAAATGTACAGCCAGTATGACAAGTCATCATTATGTCTGTTCATAAGGAGAATGATCTGGAACCTACACTAGTCTTCATCAGCTGCACTTCCCTTGATAATCAAACTATTTTCTACATTCACTATTGAAATATAAGACAATATGCATCATGTTACCTCATTTTTGGTTAATGACACTGCTGTCAAATGCTGTTGGTGACCTGAGACTTTTGTTACTCTGTATATTAAATTCACCAATTCACAGAGCGTTCTGCATAATCCTCTCATAAGAGGATGATAGAGACAGAAAGAGACAGTGAGGGAATCTGACAGTAAAATATTATATAACACCGGATGCCCTGGTATAGTTGTTCACATCCATGTGCTGAGCTGATCCTCCACTGTACTAAGTGTAAACAACGCGTCGCTCTCCTCAGGTCACCATGTCGTTGTCTAAACATGACTTCCTTCTCCTTTACCCTCTAGTAAAATTATTGGTGGCAGCTTTAGGCTTGTTAAATATCTTGTGTATTTCTGTAAATTTTGTCATTTTGATAGTAGTGTCTCCCCCCCGTCCTCTGTGAGCCTCTCACTCTCCCTGAAGTGAACAGATTGAGTCTCAGTGGGACGGTGTCACCCAGGGAGACACTGTCCTCCCCATCCTGTCACACTGCTTCTCTCTCTGCTGTGGACACACACAGACACACCGTTCAAACAACCGCATGTCACCTTCATAGATGTATTATCTAAACACATAGGATAACTCAGTCACTGTGGGAACTCTGACTGAATATGTACACACACACACACACACACACACACTACATCTTGCTACCTTTACCAGATAACAAACAGCGAGCTGGGTCACATGCTGATTATCAAATTACATATCAAGATGTAAAAGAAGATACTTCTCTTGCTGTTTGCTTACTTCCCAGTTGTGTGGCACAGTACGGTTAAATCCAAACCCAACAACACACAGCGGCAGCATAAATATTAAATATTGGAACCGTACAAGGATACAAAAAGCACTGTGGCAATAAGGCATGTGGAACCGTTGCAGCTGATTTTCCAAACTGTTTAGCTCTGACAGGTTCTTCATGTGTGAAGACCTCGCTCATGAAGTAAACGTAGCCACTCCTAAACCAAACAATAAAGGCAGACTGACACACAGTCATGGAGAGACAGACATAAGATGGATATAGAGAATGCAGGCAGCCATGTCTCGAATGTAGCATTTTTATTTCTGTAAGTCAACAAAAGCATCTTACGCTCTCCTAGTGTTCACTGAATGATGTTTTTCTGCTTTGACCACAATACAGATTCATCATCTTTAGGCTTAACAACCAATACTACATTATTACTGCCACTGTCATGATCACAGTGATTATATCAAATCATAGTCCTTGAGATCTTTAGCTTTGTTAAAACTGATTTTTTTTGTAAGCTTTGTTTTTCACAGCACTGAGTACGTCTTCACACCAGTCTTATTTTTTTCTTTCTATCAGACAACCTGCACCTGTATTGTGTAAAAGTGACTACAGTAACAGAACATGGCTATAGATAATTCTTAAACTGATAGGAATGCTAAAACGTTTATAAAAAGTGTAAATTATTAAATATCGGTACAAGTTCTCACAGACAGTGAAGTCACAATTGTAGCATGAGTCTGTGATTTTAATATTTCTTGCACTGCTCTTTGCATGAGTTGATAAATAGATGAGAATTTATTTGACTTAAGACTTAAAAGACTTGCAGGAGAGATGGAGAATGCACTTGACCTTACAGTGATGGAGTTTGTGCTTACTTAGTGGAGTTTAATATAGAAACAGGAGATGCATTCTGATGGAGAAAATGTTTAAATAATAGATGAACTCCTGGTGGCTTTCATCAGGAAGGATCATGGTATGTGAGGTGGAGTGATTGGATACACGCTCCTCTGTTCAAACAGTGCAGGGATGCTCTCCTCACAAGATGTATTCACACATTTCTGCATATACACATATACATGCATAACAACATTGCCTCAACAATTTGAATAAAATATTCACTTTTTGCTTGTACTAAAAACTAGTCACATAAAATGAGTATTCACTATTGTAGCTAAGCCATGGAAACACCCATTACAACCAACCTGAATCCAATCCCATAATTCACATCTCTCATAGCATCAGCTGTGGCCGTGCACATGCATGGCTCACAACCAGTAAAAGAGAAGAAGCTGTTAATCTGTGAAATGCTGATAGGCTCAATGGATTGATGGAGGAAGGAGGAGGAGGGAGCAGCTGGAGGAAGTGACAAACACATGGATGGTACGAGTGGGAGGGAACAGTTTAGGGATTTGTGTGGCTCAACAGCTGGACTGAAAAACAGGCTATTTCAGGATGGGATTTATACATTTGGTTGCTACCTCAAATCCTGAGAGAGTGACAGTTTAAAACAATGGTTATTGCCTGAGAGTCTACCAGTATCTTTAACCCCCCCCCCCTTTTTTTTTTTTTTATTTAAAAAGACCAATTTGAGTTACAACGTTTGTATTGATATGCTATTTATTTACACATGTCCAACACTTTAATACATTAATACTCAGAAACTGTAACTATGAATATGGAAAATGTTGATCTTCTCTTAAAAAAAAAAAACAAAAAAAATCACACTGGCAGAGACATGAACTTATCAAGATCTTCATAAACCATATCAGCCCCCGTGTTATTACATTTGTCTTTTTAATTAACCAAATGGTTACAGCATTGACAAGTCTTATTTCCTTATTTAATTTAATAAATACAAAAAAACCTTTTGTCTATTGCCATAGACTCAACTAAAAATTAAAAACTACTGTCAATTCATTATGATAATCACCCAAAGTATTCACACAGTATCTAAATAATAGAACATCAGGTACAAATATAGCCCCAAACTTTAAATAATGTCCCGTGTCTCATTATACCACTGTGTTACTTTAATATGTCAAAGGCGGATATAGATATATACACTGGGAATCATTCAACAGAAGTTTGCTTTGTCTCAAAAACAGTAAATGTAGTTTGAAGTTAAAGAACTGAAATAAGATAGATAGACGCGCTCCCATTCAACCAGGTCGTGCCAATAACGCACGGAAATATTATGTAATCACACTTTCTTCCCGTTTTTTGTTGGGCCGAATCTGACGAGAACAACAACAACAACAACAACAACACAACCAAGCAAGCAAATAGAAAAAACGAGTTCTGGAAACGATAGCATCACCGATTTGTAAAAGTATATTACAAAACATTAAACCACAACAAAAAAACCCCTCTTTCCCATACACAGCGAGTTCTCTGCACATTTATATCCACTAACATCATCATAAGAGACTCGTGTAGCTGGTTTGTTTGTCCCCGTCAGGTACAAACTCTCCATGAAGTGACAGCTCCATCACTAGCGGTATTTTTCCACGCACTTCTCACAATCCAATCACTGCACAGTGCGCGCACCGCGCCGCGCTGAGTCGGACTTCAGCCGCTACTTTCATGATATATACTTAAACCTTCCTTCCCCAGTTCAAACCAGTAAATAAACTTTTCCATCACTAGAGTGTTAATGGTTAGAGGAGAGAGGATGGGAGCCCACAGCAAGATGAACTGCAGTGTCCTGCAGAACGAAAACATCCTGAACCAACGCGTTAAATCGGGGAGAGTCAAGGTGCATTCAGGAATATTTGGAATAGGTGTGTACCTGTGAATTTTCCCCAGAGTTTTGCCCGCGACCGCCTTAAACCTGTCTGGTCTGATCTCCATGCTGCAGCTCCTTGACCTGCTGGTGCGCTTGATGTCCCGCACACCCTCCTGTCCTGCTTGGACGCCACAGCCCTCTCTCTCACCCTCACCCCCCACCCCTCTCTCTCTCTCTCTCCCCTGCTGGGCCATAGAAAAGGTTCACTGTAAAAAATGTCACGCAGCATTTGGTCTAATACAGCAGTTGTCTCCAACTGAAATAAGGACCATGCTGAGGTGAACAGGATATTGAATATTCCAGCCGTTTGCACCAGTAACTCCAAACCTAATTTCCACCATACAGGAAACGTTAGGTTGGAGACATTGTAGGACAAGTGTTCTCACACTGCCATGACAGTGGTGACAAACTAAACCTGTTGTGGCTAAAGTGGTGTAGTTAGTCTCCCTTATTAAGCGTGTGTCAGGAAAAACGAAGAGCTTTCCATTACAGTAGCACCTAATATAGGTTTTAGTAAACTATAATAAAATATCTAACATTGTAGGCATTAAACACCAAATCAAAAACCTTCCTGTGAAGATGTGTAGTAATTATATGAAATGTATCCTGCAGCACAAAACTAACTTCACAGACAAAGCAAAGGCTTCATCCCACCCCATCCTACCAAAGTGCCAGACTGTAAAGAATGTGAATTTAACGTTTAACATTTGGCTCAGTGTACGTTGTGCCACAGAAACTGGTTTGAAACCTCAAGTGGCCTCGAAAAATGATCAAACTTCCCTTTGAAGTCAACTAATTGTTACAGAAATAGGCCTGGTGTGTGCGGGGAATATGTCCAACATACCCGGCGTCACTGAAAAGGGTCACTTTAAAATGAAACAAAGCTCTTGAGGGACAGATGATAGACAGGTTTCAGTCACCACAGTGTGAGTAATACCAGGTACACTGACGTGCACGCGCACGCACACACACACAAACACACATCACAAGGTAAAATCTCAAAGTAAAATGTATTAATGCCATTTAGCTAAAAATACTGAAGTCATATTTCTGTCAGTTTCTGCATTTCCCTATTCACCAGCCACTTGCAGTAATTTACCACCCAACTCAGTTTTAAACCCCACATAAAATCAGTCTGGCACAAACAAGAGACAAACCTGTTTTGACAAGCTGGTGGATAGAAAACTCCCTTATCTAAAACCTAGTAGCAGTGCTTCTCTTGTCATATATCTGTTAGTATTTTTATTTTCTGAACAGCGGGTATGATTCAGAAAATGAGCAGGGCAGTAAAAGGAGACGCTTCATAAGTACATAATCTAAAAAGCTTTTGATTTGACTGGTTATGTACATTCAATAATTTACATAGTTAAAAAAAAAAAAACTTTGGCTGAATATGATGATGGGGTATAACCCAAAGATTCTTTCTCTGACAAAGAATAACTCTGTTCATGGTTGCCCTCCTTTCTCTTTTCCTTCTCTCATACACTCCCTGTTGTTCAACATATTGTCCTTTCACAAACAACTACTCTCATAATCCTGTATCCTGCTCATCATCTTCCTCCTCCTGCTGGGACAATAGTCGGTAGTGTTCGCTGCCCATCGGCAGGAAGGCAACCCTGGAATGAGCCTCGGTTTCCTCAGAGAGGACTCTGTGATCGGATTTGGAATCCAGCTGCTCAGTGGGGCTGCTTTTGGTGTAAAACTCACAGTACATCTCCTGGCCGCCTTGCTCCTCAGAGCAAGTGTTACGGACCCTACGGTTTTTCAGCACGGAATGGATGTAGCCAATAGGCACAGGCAAGCTGGCAAAGACTATGAGCATGATAATCATAGCCAGGGCCCACCTGGGGTACTCAAGAGTCACCTCAGAAGCCTGAAGAGAAGATGAGATGCAGCATGTCAGAGGCAGGAACAGCACTGCTTAGGAATTATAGTGTCTTTCACACAGTGCCAGTTACTTTAACAATACAATAGCTATTTTGATAAGAACCGTGCATTACTGTGCAGTAGGGAGACCAGAGGAAAAGGTGTGATTGTGTATACACTGTATGTGATACATATTCTCAACTACAACAGGTTAGTTTGACTTGAAATTCTTCATCATCAACTTTATTTATATAGCACGTTTAACACAGCTGAAGCTGACCAAAGTGCTTAACACAATATCACTCTTCTTCCCTATAGGATTAAAAAAAGAAGTCTAGTATCTTACTGTGCTTTGATTCCAGGCAGTGTATGTGGGCCCTCTGAATACCATGCGCAGCAAACTGCCAGCGAGAAGACCACTCATTGCCAATAAGCAAACATATTTCCAAAGATATTTGTACACCACTGGAGGACGCCATTTGAGCATGATTTCAACATCATCCAGGAAGCTGCAGTGATGGGAAATATTACGTACATCTTTTCAAAATAAGAAACAGGACAGACAAAGTTAAAAATGAAAAGTCGTCAGACATAATGCTTCTTACCGATCACTTCCATAAACCCACGCCACACTAATTGTCTCAAAAATGACCACGATGACTAAAGGTAGTGTGGCAGAATAGTCATCAAACATGGTCACAAAATAGTTGCCTGAACGCTGGGTGAACAGCAGTCCTATCAAGAACCCCAAGGCACAGCTTGACACTGAAAAGCAAGAATGTAGACAGTGAATCGTGCAGATACTGAACAAACAAGAGATTATTCTCTTATGATATAATATGATGTAGTAGTAGTAGTAGTAGTAGTAGTAGTAGTGTAGTCCTGTTCTTCATTTCTGTTGTTTGAGCTCCAAATATTTTCACTGATTTGGATATTTACATGTAACTTAAGTGTGAATATCTTCAGTAAAAAAAAAATTCATCCAAAATCAAGAAGATCCAGTGTTCAATACTGGCCGCCCCACGCTGTTTCCACCTGCTTTTGAGAATTTCAATAACCGCCAACAGGCAATAATTGTCTAAATATGAAGAAAAAGAAAAACAAAATTCTGAGCAAATGTACACAGACATCTAAATGTTCTGCCCATGAAAGATATTTTAAATTTAGGCAATGAATAAATATTTTTATGAGATTTTTTTAAATCAAAATATTAAACACCTGTACTATTGTCAGCATTTGCATTGAGTTTTGTGCAATACCAGTGAGTAGAGTATGGTGGCGCCCCAAGAGGCTAAAGTTGTCCATGAGAGGTGTGAGGATTCCCTGCATAGTCCCAAACATGGAGCTGAGGCCCAGGTTGAGCAGCATTAGGAAAAACAGCGTGGACCAGAAGGGGCTGGCTGGGAAGAGGGCCATCACCTCAGTGAATGCTATGAATGCCAGGCCTGTCCCTTCAACGCCCTGAACTCACCCACAGGAGGGACAGGAAAAAAAAAATCAAAGTATGTCTGAACAAAAATTATATAGGCTTTATATTAACTGTTGATTGGAAGTATTTTTGGTGGCTCCTTCCACATGAAACAACAAAGATATGTGACTTGGAATTAGTGAATTCGATTTAATGAACCCATGCATTAACCATCTACTGATTACGCTTTCAGCCTCCGTGATCCTAATCATCTCCGTGTACTTGTCAGATGTTTCACAATAAATAAATTCCTAATCTACCAAAATCCTTTTGGTTTTGGTTAGCTCTTTGTTGTGATATGTGGCTTGGTAACTTGTGTATAAGGAAACATATACAGTCTTATGCAAAAGTTTAGGCACCCCTTGATAAATAACAGATTTTGGTGATTTTTTATTTGAACAGATGTTAACACAGTTTCTCTTGGAAATGGAAAAAATGCACAATATTTTCTGCAAACAGTGATGCATAGTTCTTCTTCTTATGCCATAAATTGAACAAAAATAAAAAATAAAAACATTATTATGGCATGGTGCAAAAGTTTGGGCACCCTAAGAGTTCCAGAGTCTCAAAGTCTCTCACAAGGTTTCAGACCTTAATCAGCTCGTTAGATCTGATGCACAGCAACAGCTGTCATTGGTAAATGCCAATTTCAAAGCTGTACAAATACCTTGACTCTTCAAACCTTGTGCACACACTTGTGGACACCCAGCAACCATGGGTTCCTCTAAGCAGCTGTGTAAGACCCTGAAAATGAAAGTTATTGATGCCCACAATGCAGGAGAAGGCTACAAGAAGATAGCAAAGCGTTGTCAGCTTGCAGTTTCCACAGTAAGAAATGTAATTAAGAGATGGCAGATCAGGGGAACTGGGGAGGTCAAGATGAGATCTGGAAGACCAAGAAAACTCTCGGACAGAACTGCTCGTATGCTGGTCAGAAACACAAATCAAAACCCCCATTTGACTGCAAAAAACCTGCAGGAAGATTTAGCAGACTCAGGAGTGGTGGTGCACCGTTCCACTGTGCAGCGATGCTTGCACAGACAAGGCCTTCATGGAAGAGTCAGCAGAAGAAAACCTTATCTGCGTCCCCATCATAAAATCCAACATCTGAAGTATGCAACAGGACATCTACAGAAGCCCGATGCGTTTTGGAAACAAGTGCTGTGGACTGATGAAGTTAAAATAGAACTCTTTGGACACAATCAGCAAAGGCATGTTTGGAGAAAAAAAGGAGCAGCATTTCATGAAAAGAACACCTTGCCAACTATTAAGCATGGGGGTGGATCTATCATGCTCTGGGGTTGTGTTGCAGCCAGTGGCACAGGAAACATTGCACGGGTGGAGGGAAGAATGGATTCCACTAAATACCAGCAAATTCTGGAAGCAAACATCACACCATCTGTAAAAAAGCTGAAGCTGAAAAGAGGATGGCTTCTACAACAGGACAATGATCCTAAACATACCTCGAAATCCACTATGGAATACCTCAAGAGACGCAGGCTGAAGGTTTTGGAATGGCCATCACAGTCCCCTGATTTAAACATCATTGAAAATTTGTGGGTAGATCTTAAAAGAGCTGTGCATGCAAGACGACCAAAGAATATTACAGAACTAGAAGCCTTTTGCAAGGAAGAATGGGAGAAGATCCCAAGTACAAGAATTGAAAGACTTTTAGCTGGCTATGAAAAGCGTTTGCAAGCTGTGATATCTGCCAGAGGAGGTGTTACTAAGTACTGATTGTGTAGGGTGCCCAAACTTTTGCACCATGCCATAATAATGTTTTTATTTTTTATTTTTGTTCAATTTATGGCATAAGAAGTAACTATGCATCACTGTTTGCAGAAAATATTGTGCATTTTTTCCATTTCCAAGAGAAACTGTGTTAACATCTGTTCAAATAAAAAATCACCAAAATCTGTTATGTATCAAGGGGTGCCTAAACTTTTGCATAAGACTGTAAACACCAAACGGCAGACAGGCAGTGGACCTTATTCACTAACATGCGCATAGAAATGTTCTTACCTTGTGCACAAAATAAGTGCAGGAGACATTACCATCATATTCATGACACCAGCCAATTTTGTTCTTTCTATTGTGTGTATGTTAGTGTAAATCAGAATCATTCTAAAATGACAGGCGCATTCCAGTGGTTTTCAAGTAGCCTGCTGCCATGCCCCCATTTCTCTATATACTTATAAACTAGAACAGTTTTTTAAATTTAATTTATTTCAATTAAAACTGTGATTAATCAGAATGACAGGGCATTAATTTCATGTTTATTTAATATGCTACATTTGGTCAATGCATTAGTAAATTAATCATTATAGCCTTAAATTATATTAATCAATTATATTAGCTATTAAAACCTTTTTAATTAATATAGTTTCAGTTAAAATGTGTTTGCATTTTTTAGCCAGCCAGGCCTTCATCATTTGTTCATACACATGGGGTGAGGCAGTATTAAATTTGTTCACAGAGTATGAACAAATTAAGGTAAGAAATAATATCCCAAGAATACCTTATTCATCTCCTCCTCCAGACTGCAGTCAGTGATGTTAGGACCCACCATGGAGCTGTAGTGACTGTACCACTCTCGGTATTCTGCTATAGACACAGAGCTTGGATCTGTCATGTTGAACCAAGGCCACCAATGCTGGTTTGATCCATGGGATGCCATGATGTTTAACAGGCCGAGATTTCTAGAAGAGGTTAAAAGGAAACATTAAAAAGTAAATTATTTTACTTACTTAAATGGTACTGTCTTTGAGAATACTGCAGATTTTTTTTTTGTATTGTTTCACAGACCAAACCAATGAGATTATGTCTTAGTAGATGTCCCACTAGTGCTAGAAAATGTGGTTTAAAAATGACCAAGGGAAGTTATCATTCATGCACACACACATCCGTACTCAGCCACACAGCGTAGTGCAATGTTTTTGGCACGAAAACCCAGCACTACAAAAACCACGAGCGAGGCCAGCACAGACGTCAGGAAGTTGATGCCAGAGACCAGCAGCGCATCCCTGTGGCAGTTGTTGTGGACTGGATTGTAGGAGGAATAAGCGATGACAGAGCCAAATCCCAATCCAAGGGCAAAAAACACTTGTGTAGCAGCCTGCCGCCACACCTGCATGTTCCCCCAGATTTCAAGCTGAAAAATATCACAATATGTTGCTAATTCTACATTACTGTAAATACTACAAAGCTTGTACAGCATCTGAAGTTTTTAATAGTCTAAACATTTTTCCATTTAACATTTATTAAATAAAAATGAAGGAAATACATTTAGAAAAAAGGTAAGGAGGACAATCTTGTCATGCTCAAACATTAGGAAATTGCTTACTCTAGGATAAAACATGTAGGTGATTCCTTCCATCGCACCATCCAATATCAACCCTCTGATGAGGAAAATAAAGAGCACCACATATGGAAAGACTGAGGAAAAGTACATCACCTAAAATTCGGAGAAAAAAAGGTGAGGGATGATTTCTGTGCCAGAAAATTTGTGAGGAGTAGTTCAAGATTTTGGGAAATGTATTTATTTGAGTGCTTTGTGAAATTATTAATTTTGTACCACACACCTATCTTTCCATTACATATGAAGCTGCAGCCAGCGACCAATTAATTTAGCTTAGCATATATTATAGGAAAGACTGGAAACAGGGGTAAACAGCTAGTCTGGCTCTGTCCAAAGGTAACTAACCAGCACCTATAAAGCTCACTAATTCAGTACATAAGATCAGTTTCCAGTGTTTGTGCTGAGCCAACTGGCTTCTTATCTAATTCACCACCAGAAGGTAAATAATCACATTTCCTAAAATGTTGGCTTATTACTTCAGCAATCATGCAACCATCAATCTGTGTATGCATCCTGGTGTATAGATTCTTTATATATAGGACTCCCTGAGGTAAAAAAAAAAAAAGAGAAGACTTGTTTTACCTTTCCCGAAGACTTGATGCCCTTGATCATGGCCAAGGAAACAATTGTCCATGCAGCCAATAAACAGCCTGTCATGATGGCATTAAACTCTCCAGATTCTTCAATGGAATTTGTGATATTAAGAGCTTTCCGAAACCAGAAATATGACGTAGGGGAACTACTTTCACATTCTTTCACTGTTGATTGAGGACAGACAACACTATAGACCTTGGCCCAACATCTGTGTGACATGTCATTTTGTTTAACTCCTCAGTTGTGTAAGTACCTGTGCCATTGGTGGTGACATCAACTGGACACTGCTCCCATGGCAGAGGATACTGAAAAGAATTACCCAGGTAGAACAGGCTCCACGCAATGATAACATTGTAGTAAAGAGCCACATAGAAACAGACCTAGACAAGAAAAGGTTTGTGAATGATTTACTTAACAAATGACCAACATTTACTGCACATATCACATTCTTGAGATATAGGATGCAGTACATTATGTGCTGACATGTATAATGTACAGTCTGAAAGGTTCTATCGATGTCAAAAAACTCCAAGTGGAGAACAGCAAACCTCTTAGGATCCAATATGGCACTCGACACAAATTCACTGCTTAATTTTATGCATGCTCCATTAGTGATGAAATCATTTTAACCCATTGATTCTTGTATGGTGAAAGTCTATCTATAATTAATTGTGACACTGACTGAGAAATGAAGCTTTTCAGACAATAAATAAGCTTCTTAAAGATAAAAATATGGGTGTCTGCTGATGTGTGTGTAAACATCAAGATTTCATAGTTAAGTTAACTTAGGAGAATATAGGATGGAGGATAGATTTTACTGTTTCTCTATCTTGGTTTTTATTTGCCCTGATTAACAAATAATTCAAATGTAACTTGACACACACGTTTACCCAGATGAAACAAATACAGATATCCTCACTATGCAGCTGGAGTAGCCGACCCCGGCCAGCTTTGGCGAAATGTGCTTCCATACACCGATGCTGCCCTGTCGCATGCTCTGACCAGCAGCCAACTCCATAAAAAACAGTGGCACTCCAACAATTAGTAAAAGAAAAACATAAAGCAGCATGAAGGCCCCTGGAAGCAGAGATGGAAGACGGCTTTGAAGGCCACATATAAATGACTTTACACAATACAACCTACTCATTCTTTATATCTTGTCAGTCTTTTTTGTTCTGAAGCATGCCTGATTTTTATTTCACCTCTACATCTGAGCATTTTCTTCATTTATCTTGTTGTCTTATGTATTTTTCAGTGCCAGGTTTTCTGTGTATTAAGGCAGTGGTCCCCAACCCCCGGGCCGTGGACCGGTACCGGTCCGTGGATCAATTGGTACCGGGCCGCACAAGAAATCATTAATTATTTCCGTTTTATTTATTATCTGAGTCTGAACGATCTTTTATTTTGAAAAATGACCGCATTCTCTCGGTTACATCTCGGTCACTTGAGCGCCAAAACTGGCTTACTTGTGCGACATATTCAGCCTGCTCAATGAACTCAATCTGTCACTTCAGGGGAAAATGACAACTGTCTTCAAGTTGGCAGATAAAGTAGCTGCATTTAAAGCCAAACTGGATTTGTGGGGACGGCGCGTCAACAGAGGCATTTTGGACATGTTTCAAACATGAGACTTTGGGTGAGACTGAGCCTGAGTCTTCATTCTCCCAGCTGGTGCACGATCACATGTCTTTGCTTTTAAAAGAGTTCGAGCGCTACTTCCCAACCACAAAGGACCCACGAACTGCCAAGGAAGGGATCCGCAACCCATTTGTCAACAAACCAGGTGAATCCAGCAGGTCTGTGCAAGAAGAAGATCAACTGCTGGAGATCGCAAATGATGGCGGCCTTAAAAGTATGTTCAAGACAACAACTCTGTCGGTGTTCTGGATTAAAGTCATGACAGAATACCCTGAGATCGCCACCACAGCACTGAAAACCCTGTTGCCATT